GCCATTGCCATCGGGGCCATAATTATTGTTAGGTCCCTGATTGTCGTTGTCTGTGCCACCAAGTTTGACGCCACTCCTGCCAGCGGGGATGATGGTGCACACCTCCTCGTACTTGGGGCACTTGATCGTGCCACCCGCAAAGTCAACGGACGTGGACGCAGGTGAGAGGAAGCCGCCCTCGGGGCACTCGTGCCACGCATCGTTGCCGAGTTGCTTCACCTGCACCGTGCCCTCCCCGCACCGCACCCGCGCACACACGCCGCTGACGCCCTCCGACTCGCTGCCCTCCGGCCGCTGCTTCACCCGCAGCGAGTCCCCGTCGAGGCACCACGAGCCATGGCCGGTCAGCTACCCGAGGAGAGACGTCACGCTCGCGTCCGAGCACCTGCTGCGAACGAAATCCCTATCCGTGGATTAGGTGGGACAAAAAAAATAACAACATCGACGAGAGGTCGCGACAGTTGCCCGCATTAATGTAAGGAATGGAGTCGGTACGCCTCCCGACGTGGTAGCATTCAGGAATGCAGGGCGGGTTCCGGTGCCGGTTTCACAACAAAACATGCGAGGGTAGACAGTGGAGAGGTTGCCAGTCTTCGCGCATCTCTCCTCCACGAAGCCCTCTTTCCTGACGCTCATTCATCACCCTTTTGGCTTTCTTTGTCCCCCCGCGCGTCCCCCAGTAACAAGCGCAGTTCGAGCCAGCAACCGACTTAAGCGACCCCCAAGTGATGTTCATACGTGTCGTTCTCGAAGGAACGTTCCGGGTGATCGTGCGTCCCTTCGACTCATTTCTCCTCGAGACCACAAACGCGACCCCACATGTCCGTCGGTTTTCTTTTCGGTGGAGTACCGCTTGCTCTTTTTTATTTTTATTTAGCGCCGCGAAAAGTACTTGGTCGCCCAAGAAGAACACTCTTCTGCTCGTTATTTTTTGGCCGCCGTTGTGGCCCCACGCCTCAAGCAGAGTTGCCACCTACACTCCTCGTCCGTGGGGGAATCCCAACGAGATCGCGTGTAGTTGAGGTTCAAGCGCCGCCGCAAGAGGTCCCCTTCGTTTCTTTTTGCTCCTCTGGCGCTACTTATATGCTGCCCCCGAGTGTGGTTGCTAGGACTTGTTTGGGTGCGAGCACTGCACTGCTCACAGTGCGCCTGATCGCGCGTGTGTGTGTGTGTGTGGAGCCTGCAATGCAATGAAGCTCTCCTGCGTCGGAGTGCGGGGGGTTGCAGCCCTATCCGCATGTGACAGCAAGCTAACCCTCACGTTTCTGAGACATTTTTTTCCCCCTTTGGTTCCCCAATGCCTAAAAGGCGACCGTGTGCAAAGCGATTCTAGAGAAGCAGAGATTGTTAGAGAATGAGGTCGGCTCGCGGTACTGTGAACAACACTCAAAAGTGAGGCAGCATTTACTCAGCCCATCCACGGGGTGTCAGCGCCAGCGCTGTGGATGATCCACTTACGCGACGGCCGTCAGCCGGACCCCTGGGAGGCGTGACCGGCTGACAGGTGGAGGCTCTACTCGGGCCGCGCCTTCGCGGGCGGGCGAGGGACGGCAGGTGGCCCCCGATGGTTCCTCACGGGCCGCAGTTGCTTGGTGCTGCCAAGGCCGTGGTGGTGGTGGTGGTGGTGGAAGTTAAGAGCGCAGCACTCATCCGCTCATTCTTCCCTCTCTTTCCGCTTCCGCTTCGGCGAGACGCAGCTGACCTGCCGCGGCGGAGGCGGGCTCCTGGAGGGCGATTTCCGACAAACTGGCGTAGTGCTTCTCCGCGGCGGGGCGGAAGGCGTGGAGGAGCACCGACCCAGCCACGCCGACGTTAATGGAGGTGATGGACGAGTTCGGCAACGGGAGGGAAACCACACGGTGCGGTACCGTCCACTCCCCCGCAAGGCTCTCAAGGCCTTTTGACTCGGAGCCTAAAATCAGCATGGGGCCTAAATGGGCATTGGTTGCACCCGCGCCGGCGTCACATTTCTGCCGCCTCGCCGCGTTGGATTCATGCAAGCGCTTGGCCACATTAAATGCGGGCTCGGCCGTCTGCGAGGGCACGGCTAACAGGGGCAAAAGCTGGTGCTCAAGTGCGATGCGGCTCAAGAGGGAAGCGGATGCGCCTCGCGTTTCAAACACTTTGAGAGTTGGTGCGAACACCGCCCCTCCGCTGGCGCGAAGGACCTTTTCGTGAAACAGATCCACGCAGTCATCAAGGATGACGCTCTCGAATCCCATGTCCACCGCAGCTCGAATGAGCACGCCGACGTTGCTAGGAATTCGCAGGCCCACTAGCACCAAGGCGGAGGCAAGTCGTGTGAGTTTCTGAGGGCCTACAAAAGCTTCCAAGGAGGGGGAAGTGGGGATGGGAAACTCCGCCGCGTAGCCGTCCCCCCTTTCGGCACTGAGCAAACTTTTATTGACGTCGACAGGGGAGCAGCAGACGACGCAGCTGGGAAGCTCCTCCTGCAGGCACCACGCGGGGACGGCGGGCTCCGTGTTTGGGACATACACAACGTGCGGCTGGATCTTGTACTCTCGCCAGGCGCGGCGAATGGCATCGGCCCCGCCGACCACGCATGCCTGGGAGGAGCGGCGCAGGTGTCGATTTTCACGCAGCAGTTTTGTGGAGTTCCACAGCTGCCGACCACTCACGGCAAACTCCGGGGTCATCCGGGCAACACCGTCCAGGTCCTCGAGCAGAATCGGCCCTGTGCCTTTCCGCTCAGCTCCACGGTGCAACTGCGCCAGCGCGAGCGGGGCCTCCCGGAGACTTTTTGGGTGAACCGTGCGGTAGCCCCGCAGCACCCCTGCAAGGCGCATTTGTCGCTATAACCCCTCCCCAAAACGGAGTAAAAAAAAGCGAACAAAAAACAAGGAGGGGAAGGGGGAGGAGGGATAGTAACAATAATAATAATAATACAGGAGCGCTGACTCAAAACAGTCCGCGGCAGGTCACATTAAAATGTAAATGCATTTATGTATGCACATACACTCACACACACACACACACGCAAGTGGCTCAAGCGAGGAGGGAATACATGCATCCACCACGCACAACAAGCACCGCCAACGCCGCCGTGCAATTCCACACCTCTGGAGCGCTGGCTAACGAAAGTTTGGGTGCGTGCGGTAGCCACGACTCCACCCGCCGGTGGCGGTCCCCGCCCGAGAAAGACGCACGTCCTCCATCCCGTCGCTCTCGCGATCCAGCGCCTCGCGGAGTTCCCTTGGGAGCACATCATGGGTGAAATTATCCCACTCCGTTGCCTTTCCCGAGGCAATTTCTTTCTGTTGCTCCTCCACCCGCGATCGTCGTCGTTGCATGCGTCGCTTCCGCTCCTGGCCTTCTTGTATGACCTGCTGAAGCGTCAGGTCCTGGCGAAACTCCTTCTTCTCTCGACTCTTGCGTGTGACTAAATAGTCGGCCCGGTGATGCCACTGGACGTACGTTTCCTGCAGAAACTTCTCCGTTTTTCGCTGATCCGCCGTCAAGAGCCAACAGAAATCCTCCGTCGCGCGCTGCTCCACCCGTCGATGCAGCTCCGCACTCCACTGAATCCCCGACGCACTCGTCCCAGGGGACTGGTTGCGCAGCCCGCAGCGTAGACGTTCCTGGTCGTTCATGTAACACGCCAGCAGCTCCGCGGCAGGGGTGGGCGGCAGCGTGAAGTACAGCTCCGTGTAGAACCACTCCAGGCGCGGGATGCAGTGAACCTCCTCGGCAAGCGCCATGGTCTGCCCAAGAAAGGCGTACTGGGCGCCATGGTTCAAAAAGGAGAAGAGTTTGGCCACGCACAACTCCTGCTGCGCCTCCACTGTGGAGTGGGGAACGAGATGCCACCCAGACGGGGCCGTCTTCCACGTGGACGGGACCAACGCCGCGGGCGACAACAGCGACGAGGTGGCGAGGAATCGACTTGGTTGCAACATGCCGGGCCACCAAGCAGAGTGAAGCCGCCTACTGCGTTAGGCAGCAGCGAGGCAAGGGCAAAACTGCAGAAGGAATGCCCAGGCTCGCTTTCTACCACGCACACACACACACCCCTACCCCGCTATGCATGTAACGACGGCAGAGCTGTAAAAATCGGCTTCCTTGTTGTGCGAGTGCGAGCCGCCCGTGGATGGGAGCGAGGGACCAAAGAGAACATGGAATTCAACAAACTACAAAACTCCACGCCCGCGCAAACTCTCGTGAAAGAAGCACATTAGTAACAATAATAGTAAAAGAAACACCAAGAACCAAACAGTTCCATCGTTCACACACACACACACACACACCTTCGCGGCGCGTACAACATGCCCACGGGGAGAAGGCCTACGCCGCGTCGAGCTCCTTACCCGCTGAGGTTGGCTCGCCCAATTATAGTGGAGCGGCAATGCAGGTTGGGCAAAGACCGATGCTCTCCCGAACAAATGCTTCACACCGAGCACAACGCATGCAACGGCAGGAGTTGCATTGCAAAGCAAGTGTCTTTCCGTCGTTGTCCAGCATTCCACGTTGACACAGCGAGCATCGCCAGGCAGAAGCATCGCCGTTGAATTTGCGTGCCTCCTCCATTGCATCGCCCGCGTTGCTGGAAGCCGCACAAAGTTCATTGTGTGCAAGGAAGGTGGTGTGCAGCAGTGGGGCACTGCAGAGCAGCAACTTGCAGAGCGGGCAGGTGGACGGAATGGACGTCTGCATCAGCCCACACTGCGGGCATGCAAGGTACTTTGTGACTCCGCCGTAGTCGCCGCCGCCGCCGCCCTCCTGCGGTTCCTTGCGCTCAACGTAGCACGGGAATCCAACCGGAATCAGCGTCGGCTTCTCTTCTTGGCAAACGTGCGATTTGTCTGGGGCCGCAAGCCGCCCCAGCACCTCGGTGAGATGGTCGTAATTCATGGGGGTGTAGAGCGACCCACCGGTGGCCGTCGCCGCCGCCTCAAACACGTGCACGGCGCCACAAAACGAAATCACGTCTACACGCACGCGAAGTTTTGCCAACATTTTAATCACCCCAAACACGTCATGGGGGTCGATGATGGTGACGGAGGAGGAGACGAGAAGGATTCGCAGCCGCGCCGCGGGCTCCTCTCGCGCCTCTTTGCCGCCGCTGTCGGGGTCGGTCTGTCGCACACGCCTGGCAATGCGCTTGAGGTCCACGAGCTCCGAGAGGGCCAGGCGAAGCCCGTTCTCCAGCGACATCGCCCCAGACCCGCCAAAGAGGAAGTACTTTACCTCCAACGCCTGGAGGATGTCCGAGGCGTTGGTGGTGCAGGGGTTAAGGCGGTGCGCCACCCCGTCCCGCATCACGACGACCCCCAACGAGGCCAGCGGGTTGGCGTCGAGGTAAGTGTGGACAAACCTGCCCAGCTGAGGACGCAGCGCCAGCAGCCGCGTGGGCAGGTAATCGGCGGAGCTGTCCATCGCCTCACTGCCGTCCAGAAGTAGGACTGTCTTCAGCATCAGACCGTCTACGCACTGCAGCTGGGCTGCATCTCCCACACACACACATATAACGGGAAGGGGGCGCAAAGACAATACAAAGAAAGAGAGGTGGGGAAAATGAGGATGAAGCACAACAGGCACAGTGGCAGCCCCAAGGCACGCCCCACTTTTCGCCCAACCGCGGCAACACCCACAGAGAGAGAGAGAAAGTGAGAAAGAAAGAGAGATAGAACCCCAACGCCATGTAAAAGAAATCGAAACACCAACAACGGCTACGACGACGCGATAACCCAAGCTGCGATACAAAGACGGGGAAGCACCACCACTACTAACGCACTCCCCCCTCCTCGTTCCTCCCTTCACTCCCGCCCTTCCGCCCCTTTCCTCTGCTCCCTCTGACAGCGTGGGCAGCGGCACACGAAGCCGCGGCGCTCCAGCTCCGTTGAGCGCTCCGCGAACGCCAGGTGCTTTAGCTGCGGGTAGTAGTTGATGGTAATCTCCTCCCCACGTGCGACTCCCCGCGTTGTTTTGACCTCCCCCGAAGTTGGGTCCTCCGCGGCGTTGGCGGCGCACGAGTGGTTCAGCATGGAGCGTGCAAGGTTCAACTCGACACATGTCTCGCGATGAAAACAGTTTGCGGTCACGCGCGCCAACACGCCAATCATTTCCTCGTATGAAATGGAGGTGGTGGTGTGACAGGAGCGGGTGAATCGCTCGTAGATTTCCAGAAACGACTCGGAGAGAACCTTGGGACTAAACAGCAAGCGGCCAGAGAGGATGCGTAGCTCACTCAGGGCAGACGGAATCACCTGCTGCTGCAGCGAGACAGCCAGGACGCGCAACATGAGAAGCTGCGCAGCCGCCGCATTCTTTGCCGTACTCGTCTCTGCCGCCTTCATCTGCGTATACATGTCCAGTTCAAGGGCCTGAAGCCCTTCAATGCCGCACGAGCGAGAGTGGTAAAGGGAAAGAGCCATTGTTCTACAGTCCCTACTGCAGTACTCCTCGTGACAGTTGGGATTTTTGCACGTGAAGAAGCGTTCTGGCAGGGGCTTCGTGCAAAAGGCGCAGAGCCCGTCATCTGTTGGGTAGCGTAGCCAGGGCTCCGCGCCACGCACCACGACGCAGCACGGCAAAATGTTCTCTTTGGCCACTACGCCGCGTCCCACCGCCGCGTCTACCTTCGCCACCTCGCAGTTTCCATTCAAGTACGGATGCACGTAAAGGTGGAGGTGGGAGTCGTCGGAAGGATAGGTGCCAACCTGGTGGGCCGGGAAGTGCGCCAGCGCCTCGTAGCAACGTCGCTGATGTCGACCGGAGAGCTGCAGCACCTGCGCCGCCGTGTTGTAGTCCGCGACGGCAAAATACGGCTGCCCCAGCGCAAAGTAGGCGTTCCCGCGGAAAAGAAACGCCTCCGGCGGACTCCTTGCGCCAAGTGCGTCAATGACGCTATGACAGTGTCGCTTGAGGGCGACGGCAGCTGCGGACGACTGTTTGTTCATCACTTGCTCCACCACAGTTTCCTTTCCTTTTCCACGGCGCGCAGGGCGGGAGAAAGAAAATACGCAAGAGAAGCAAATATTAATAATAAACAAGCCGCCACGCACACCATGAAGGACCCCGCGCAAAGAAAACCAAACGTGCTCCTTTCTGTCTTCGCTGTGGTCGTTGAGCTTCCTCCCTCCATCTCCGCTGCACCCCTCCTACGCAGTCTTTCTCGCACCACCCACGGCCACGCCTCGTCTCGTCCTGCACGCGCCGCGGGGACACCACCACCGCCGCCGGGTCTACCACCACACCAACGTCTGGCCTCGCAGTTTCTCACGTTCTCCGTCCGCCCATTTGCGCTGACGCCGCATCAGCGCCTCGTAGCGCCGCAGTTCCCTGTTTGTTGCCTCAAGACGTGCGGTATTGAGGGCAACCAAGCGACTAATGACGGTGCCCACACCAAGGCCCAAGCAGCCGCCCAGAAAAAAGCCCGAGGCGCCCAGGCGAAGTGCAAGACTGACATCGCCAAGGATCCACCATGGCATGACGCCAACTGTCGCACCTGACATGGCGAGGCCCATGACGTAATTTGACGTACTGCGCCGCCGTGCGTCGTGGGGCGGAAGCAGCCTGTGCTTGGTCATTGTCGCCAGACGGTCCCCCACGCAGAACGCCGCGGAGAAGAGGGCGCAGTTGCCGCCCCACTTCACGACACTTGCAAAGACTGACATGTTAAGAATCGATAGGACGCCCACGCCCGAGGCGTTGAGGAACTGCACGTCGACGTTTATCGCCTGAATGGCCTTGACCATCCCCTGCGCAATACCCATGGCAATTCCACACTTTGTAGTGAACCAAATGAGAGAGGGTGCAGAGTCTAGAAAGGGGTCCAGACCGTAAAAATCCACACTGGGTCGGTACTCATTTGCCACCTTTGCGATGGGCTGCCCGGTCTCCACGGACTCAAGAATAACCTTCCACGGGGTCGTAAATCCCACCTTGCGAGCCCCCACCGGACGCCCCTCCGCTCGCTCCTGCTCATCGTGTTCCATGTTCTTTTCCAGCGCGCGGTAGCGCGCCTTCACCTTCTGCCGTGCGTACTCCTCGTCTAAGGTCTCCATCCATCCCAGCCTACGACCAACCCAGGCAATGGAACCTATAACGTCGTGCGCCGACTCCATCCGTTTCACGCGCTTCACCTCTTGAATGGCCTCCCCCACATCCAGCTCTTGTCGGTACTTTGCTTGCCAGAAGTTCGGTGCACGACGCTCCTCCTCCGTGAGGGGTGTGCCATCGATGGAGACGTTCTTGTCCTCCATCCACTGCGGCGGGCGGAAGTGGTAGTCTGGCCCAACCATAGTCACGGCAGAGGCGTCCTGCCGGCTCGCTTCTTCGCGGAAGTACTGCACGACGTACTTCCATAAATCCGCCGGGTTAAAGTACGCCTCTCCACCGCCTGCGCTCGTGTACGACGTACCGGACGACTTGGGGCGAGTAAATCCCACAGCAAAAGGCGCGCTGGGGAAGGTGTCGCCCGACTGGGACCCAGACTTTTCTTCCGCCATGTCGTGGTAACGCGCGTGCTAGTGGTGCTGGGCAAAGGCGCGGGCGGGGAGGAGGAGGGTGGTGGTGGCGGATCTAAAAGGAGACGCGCACACCCCTCTCCCTTTCTGTATTTGCAGTGTAACGCCGCAACAGAGCCCAACAGCTTGTGTGCAGTGGAGAGAGAGAGAGAGAGAGTTAAGGAATTGGTTATAGTGTAGGGAAAGAGAGAGTGAGAGAGCCACAAACAGAAAGAGAACAAAAAAAAAGAGGAATCGTGGACAATAACAGAAGTGGACACGCAGGTGCACACAGAAAGAGGCGGAATGCATCCGTCTCCTGCTCGCTGAGGTCAACCGACCATTGGGGTTCATCCTACCTGGAGCGCGCCGATAGTAAATGCGGCAAGAGAAGCAGGCGGGCAAACGAACAAACCCAAACCCGCACAGTTATCAAAACTACGGTCTATTGCAGCGTAAATCATCTTCTTCTTCGCATTTCGAGTGCCGAGCCTTTTCACAAACAGCAGCAGGCGACGCGGCAGATGCCTGAATGGCGTGGGGTAGGGTGAGTCACTCAATGTAAAATCCTTGCATCCATCGTCGCGCCTTTTCTCTAAACCCCGCGGGATTATCCTTCATCATCTGCGCCGCCTGTTTGGCGGTGCCGTGGAGCGGGTCATCGGGATTCGGGTCCTGAAACAGCAGCTCCAGCATAACAACAATATCCCGCAGACTCATGGTCGGCTTCCAGTCGGTCTGAAAGCTCAGGCACACTCCCCAGCTATGCTTCACACCTCCCCTCACCCCGCCTTCGGTGTCGCTAAACTCGTCTCCCTCGATATTTGGGTGCCAGATGCGGTAGGGGCCCAAATACCGGACCCGCGGCCCCTCGTACGGGTAGTCCTCCCTAAACTCCAGCGCAAACTCAAAGATGCCGCCCTGCCAAATGGACGGGTACGACGGCTTCACCGTCACCTTCATCCGCAGCAGGTTGCAGGGGTCGGGAATTTCCACCTTGCTGCGGATGCCGTCCAGGTTGTCCAGGTCCTTCTTGAGGCGTAGAATTGCGACGGGCTCGCTACTTGCCGTTGCGGAAACACCCCCACCAGCACCAGAGCCGTGGGGTTGGTTACCGCCCCCGCGCGCCTCCGCCTGCTGCTTCTTGATGCGCGACAACATCCGTTGCGACTACTCGTGACGATACGTAACTCCGCAGCGGCGGGCTCCGCCTTGCCGATGCGCGTATTGCCTGAAGTATGCCTCCCTTTGTGCTTCACTGCAGCCGGTGGTGCTACGCGAGCCCCGAAGCAGAAAATAAGGAAACAACACCAAAAGAGAGAAAGAGAGAGAAAGAAAGAGAGAGAGAGAGGGATGAGGAGACCAGCGCAAACGAGAATGTGGCAACGAAGCACACAGGCAGTCACACACACACACAGACGTTTCCCACTCCCCCCTTCCAGTGCAATGGGGGCGCACGGCCCCCCGCTCCTTTTTTCCTTCTTCTTTTTAAACATCTCTCGTCTAAATACAGTACGCCCGAAATGAAAGTACAGGGTGAAGGAGGAAAAAAACAACGAGAGGAGCGAAAGACACTCGTAGAGGTACATGGATGCGTCAGACGTGAAATAAAAAAAACTGTGGAAAAGCCGACCTTTTTTATCCTTTCGTTTTGATTCCCGTATATATATATATATCTCTCTTAGATGGGTAGATATCTCTTCCTCGTCTCACCATTTCTTCGTTCCCACTTGCCCCACTAAAACTCAGCGCAGCGAAAGTTCATCACGCAGGGAGGCGTCCACATGGGGAGAGGAGCTGTTCCGGTTAGAACGTTGGCGGGACCTTGCGTCGCGCCCTCCCCACAGACGAGAACTCCTCCGGTCAGACTCTTCAGAGGGGGGAAAGCAGCGCCAGAATCTAATTGTTTCATCCCCCGCGGCGGAGGCGACCACCTCGCCGTCTGGTGACATGCAGAGATGCAGCACGCGCGAGGTGTGCCCCGTGAGATCCGCCACGCGCCGCATCGTTGGGTACTTCCAGATTGTCAACCGGTTGTGCGAGAAGCCGTGGGAGCTGACGAGCTCCGTGCCACGGAGGTTCCACAGCACCCCGCAGACTTGGCTTTCGGCGTTGTGGCAGTTTATGCACTCCCCGGTTGAGGTGTTCCAGAAGCGCAGCATCTTGTCCTCCGACCCGCCGCCGCTGAGGAGGAGGTTGTGCTGCACCGGATTCCACGCGATCGCCTTGACGGCGGCTGTGTGTTTGTTGAGGCGCAGCACGGGCTGCGGTCGCTCGGAGAAGGCGCGACTGTCCCAGAGGAGCAGCTGGTTGTCGTTGCCACCGCTAGCCATGCGGACGCCGTCCGGGGCCCAGCGCAGCCCACACACACTTTCCTGATGGCAGCGCAGCGTCCACGACGCCCCCGGGGCGCGCAGGTCATTCACACGGACTGTGGCATCTTTGCTGCCACTAGCAATCGCGCTGCCATTCCATGAAAGAGCACCAACGCGGTCGGTGTGTTGCTGCAGACGTCGCGTGATGCACTGCGTCTCCACGTCCCAAACCTCCAGTGAGCCGTCGTTTGTGCCCAGGCCCAGAAGTTTGCCGTCCCCGCTCCAGCTGACACTGCAGTAAAAGCCATCAAGGGGGCGCTGACATGGAAGGCGAGTGATATTGTACGTCTTGGCGTCCCACAGGTACACCGCCCCTTGCAAACCAACCGCAAGAACGTCCTTCACCGACCAGTCGATAAGCTGAAGGTAGAAATCATCTATCATGTCAGCAGCATCAAGGATGCGTTCAGGAGCTCGTGCAACGACGCGAAATGCCTTTGAACGGAAGTTTCTTGCTCGATTTTCCTCAAAGATGACGCCTAGCGAGTTGCGATAACGCTCCTGCTCAGATTCAGGTGTTTTGAGTTGGTGAAGCACTTGGCTGTGAATTCCCAACACCGTCGACTGCGTGTCTGGAAAAAGCGTGCGGGCAAGCTTGTTTGTGTACGGCTCCGTCGCCAGCATAGGGGTGTCGGCGGAGCCACAGTCGAGGGGGAAGTTTCGCGTCTTGCCAATACTTCCAGCGCCTTCCGTGCCGCCAACGCCGGCACTTCCGCCGCCCGCGTCGAGGCCGAGGCCCGTGCCGCGGCTAGGGGACGCCATCAGCGAGACGGAGCCTCCGCGGCGGTCGGGGCTCGCCTGAATGGGGAAGGTGTTCTCGTTCGTGGTGAGGAAGAAGTGCGACATGGCGTTGTCCTGTGAGCGGCGGTCGGAGATGAAGCGGTCGGGGGTGGAAAGAGGGGTGCGTGCCACGGGCGACGCCGGCTCCGTGTGCCGCCAGGGCGAGGGCAGCAGCGAGGTGCCGAAGGAAAGTTCCATGCGCAACGCCTGACGGGAGGGGAGGGGGTGCGGACGCGCAAAGAAGTAAGCACGTGGCAGAGCCACGCAGCAATCAAATTAAGTAACGCGGCAGTCACTCCGCCGAATTGCGGTCAAAGGCCTGGCCCACTCCTCGCCCCTCGCCCTGCGCTTCCCGCCTCCGTTCTGTCCTGTTTTCCCTCCCTCTGTCCACCCACTTCCTCGCCTTCTTTTTTCCCCCTCCCCACCTTGTTTTTGCCTGGGCTACCGACCGCTTCGCTCCCCCCCTCCCACGCAACGGAACTGCTTCCCCCGTTTGCCTCCGCTCTCTCTCTCTCTCTCTGCTCCGACTCCCTTTTTGGTACCCGCGTGATTCAGTTCCCTCCCTGCGGGAACTCCGTGCCAAACCCGTTCGGTGAGCAAAGCCGCCTTGACGGTCCCTCACTCGCGCGCGTGCGTGCCTGTGTGTTTGTGGGTGTGTGTGTGTGTGTAGCTTAAAAGCCAAACCAATGCGAGCAAAGCAAATACTTGCCTGCGTCCTGCAATAAAATAAAAACAATAGAAAGAATGAAAAAGGCTGCAACGCGTAGAGGAGAGCAAGACGCCTTGATGCGGCTCTTCCACGCAACTCCCAACAATCCCCCCCCCCTCTAGTGGGGCGTGAGCGGTGGTGTGTGTTTGTGTGTGTCTCCGCGCACGGGCCACGTGGCGTCCTCTCGTCACCCGGCAAAATGGCACAAGCGACGGTGGAGGTGGTGGTCGTGGGAGTGCGCGCCTACAAATATCTGCGTCTTCCACTTCATCTGCGCCACCACCTCCACCGTCTGCAAAAAGTCAACAAGCGGCAGAAGTGCATGTTTGTCAAAAAACTCTTCTAGTGAGAAAAAGCGCGTTTGTTGCGTGTCCCGCCCCACCTCGGTGAGCTGTCCATCGTCGCAGCGGTGCACCAGGGAGGCCGCTGCTGCCACGGAAATTGCTTCGAATGCGTCTACGATGCCATGCACCGCCGCCCGCGACAGTGAGGCGGGGTCGCACCAGGCGAGTCTCTTAATAAATGGCACCAAGGCAGTTTTAGCTGCCGCATCGTGGGCAAATTCCTGCGCAGCGAACGCGTCCCCCACCGTTCCCCCTTTCCCGCTCCTCCCACCAGCCAACACGTGGCCTGTCGGAGAAAAAGAAAGGAGATACCCCGACGGCGCCGGTGACGCCCGGTTTCTCCCTAGCTGAATCGCCGCTTCCACGACGCCGTCTTCGCTTCCACAGCTTAAGGCCTGCATCGCCGCAAGAAAGCGCAAGAGGCAGAAGCGGCGGAAGCGAAGAGGATGCGTGGCGGCATCCATGGGCGCATAACACGGCGTGCGTTGACGCAGTGCGTCCAGAATAAGCGAGGCGTAGCGATCGGCATGTTGTACGAGCAATTCACGTTTCCGACGTGGAACATCGAAAACGTTGAGAATGTATGTGCAATTTTCATGAATAAGTGGAACGGCGGCAGTGCGCATGGCGGAACTAACACTCCGACACACCCGTAGCTCATCCAATGTAGTGTACTGCAGCACAAGGCCCCAGGGGATATCTGCTACGGCGGCACCGCGGTTATTCCGTCTTTTGGGGACCGTCGCCACGGGGGGCGCCCCCGGCCCTGCAAAAGAGGAGGCGGAAGAGGAGGAGGAAAAGGAAAGGTAGGGACGCGCCTCCACAAGAGTCAACCCCCTCCCACGCCCTGCGCCATCGAGCTGCTTCCTGCCTCGCTTCGTGTTAACGCGGCTACGGGCCTCGCCCCTTCTCACAGTCGCGGTCCCTTCTTCAGCCGAGGGGAGGGCAAGCCAGTCTTCCAGGCTGTGCGTCTTTGCACGTGCAGGCGAGGCACGTTGCCGCCGTGGGGTCACGTGGATCAGCGGGGAGCACCGCTCAACTTGGGAAATCTGCTTCACCCGCCGCGAGTAACACGCCGTGCAGTACTCACTGTTCGAGGACGGGACAAGGTGCGGACACGCCTTGCGAGCATACGCTGGTGGGGATGTATTCCCAGCAGCGTGGACGAAGGAGGACTCCAGACTGCGCTGCCGCCTCGCAGGCGTTGCCGAGGGCCGCCCCACCGCACGCTTGTCATCTACCTGATGCATCTCCTTGGGTCTTTGGCAGTTGCGACACAGCTGGGGGTTGCCCCAGGATGCGCAGAAGTCGTGGCATGTCTCACTGTGCCCATGATAGCGTTCACCACGCTGCGGCCGCCACTGCCGTGGGTCGGCGTAATAATACGGCAACACCAACTTCTGCAACGCGACTCCTGTTTCTGGGCTCTGGCGTCGCTGCGGACGGGTCGTTTTCTTCGCCAGAGTCATGCCACTTTGGAGGCGTTCTTGGCGTGTGGGTGCAAATAGGCAGTGCTGCGCCCGCACCCGTTGGCAGCGGCCACAGCGGTGCGGATGAAGCCACGACTCAAAAAACACGCACTGCGGCGCCGGCGACTCCCTCCCACTTGCCGCGTCCACTGCGGCGTGCAACGAGGGCGAGTGTGTTGCTTCGCCGTTACGCGTGGGCGCGAGTGCCGCCTGCGTGGGTGATGCCGACAGCGGCGGTTCCGCAAACATGACCTGCCTTGGCGTTTTTATCGCTTCCTCTCCCTTCGCGCCGGCGCCCACGGCATGGCTGGGGCTGAGGAGGAACACCAGGCGCTGGCGGGTGGCGCGCGGAACGGAACTCAGCATCTCCGCCACGTCTTGTTGCGGGGGAAGCACCACGCCGTGCAGGCTGAGCTGCAGCGCCGCGTCGCCCAGGCGCAGCTGCCGCCGGGCCGCCGCCACCACGCTGTTCACCGTCACTCCAGCCAGACCCCCGCCGTCTGTGGGCGGGAGCGTCAGCGTCACAGCCTCCTGTCGCGCGGCCTCCGAGAGCCGCAGGTCGCTTGGGGGGTGCGCCAGGTGGAGGACGCGCACGTGCCCCGTCGCCGTGGGCGCGCCGGTGTCGCCTCTTCCCTTTTCGACATCCGCTTCTCTACGCATCTGCGCCGCACGGGCGACGCATCCCTCACCAAGCAGGGGCAGGGCGCAATAGAGTTCCCCCCCCCCGACACGAGAGAAAGAAAGCGTATGTGTGTGAAAGGGAAAGAGAAAAAAAAAGGGGGGTAAAAAAAAGGGCAGATGTGTGTAGGCATGGAATGCGTGGCAGTGCGCCCAGCCACACACGGAGGGAGGTGTCTGCAACAGTGCCCATTGGGGGGTAAATTACTAGTAATGACTACTATAAGCCCCGCCACAGTGGCGCGCTGCCGGCACTTGCCGCGGCGCACCCCGCCCCAATACGTGTAGTCTTCATCCTCTAGGCAAACATCTTCCAGGGATCAGTCTCGCCCCTCTTTTATTCACACATGCAGTGCAGCCCCAGGCTGGGGAAAAAAAGAACAAAAAAAAGAGTGACTATTAAACATACAGGGCAATACGCACAATACACCATAT